AAAAAAAATAGCAACAGCCATCATATTACTCTGGAGGCTCATCAGTGTAGGAAAGGTCCTGACTTGCTTTTCTTTTTTGAGACAGGGTCTCAGTATACAGTTCAGACTGGCCTTGATCTAACTTTATAGCATAGGCTGTTCTGGAACTCACAAGGCCTCCTAGGTACAGGTGTGCGCTACCACGCCTTGCTAGGACCTGACTTTTTATATTTAGCTACAGTTTCCTAAGGATGCGCCCTGCTTAGCAACTTCAATACTTGAGGAGCAGACACTGTACACAATGTCCCCAAGGCTATAGAGCTACAGTGTCCTCCGTATTGTCCCTCCCAGTTTGTTAGGCAGGCAAACCTAGCCTCCTGGGAAAATAAAAGGATACAAGCCTGATACTCCTAGGTCCCAAGATCCATCTTTTTTTTTTTTTTTTTTAAATTTTAGGGAAGGGTCTACAGGGTGTTCAGAGTCTCACTACTAGATCGGACTCCTAGTGATCTTCCTGCTTACAGCCTCCCAAGTGCTGGAATTACAGGCACACGCTACCACACCCAGTCTCAATTGCCATCTCAGTGTGCCCTTGGAGTGGAGCCAGCATGGCAGGCCCGGAGATCAAATCCCAGTCCCTGTGTCTGTTTGCAGCGCTTTAATCCACTAAGCTATTTGGCTGGCTGGAAGATCCATCATTTTAATGACTATTGCTACATCCTTACCATCTCTATTCTACCTTTCTTTACTGCACTGCTCAACAAAATCTCTGCTCCAAACATTCTCAGGCTGAAGGAGACCAACCAAGCAGAAAAATGCCATTATATACTCATGGCTGCAAGAGATGCTCCAAACATATATTATGGCCAAATGATAAAAATCAACAATCTGCCAAAATTGAACCTGAAGCAACGTTGAATATTACTATCATAAAATAAACTTTTAGAGTCTGGGGATAGCTCGGCAGTCTAAGCTAGTCTGCCTAGCAAGCACAAAGACCCAAGTTTGATGCACACTTTGTCTTGTTCTGAAAACGATGTGAGGGTACATGACATACTCTAAAATGATTGACATAGCCTCAAGCTCACAAGAGATTCTAAGTTCTGCATGAACATGACCCTCCTCCCTCCTCTTCCCTCCTATTTTCCCTCCTCTCCCTCCTCCTCCTCCTCCTCAGACTTGCTAGGTCAAGGCAAGTGCCACTACCTAGCAGGGAGGTGAAAGAAAGCACTGCTGAGAGTGGTAATAAGAGGGGTAATTACAGCCCACAGAAAAGTCTCATGAATTTTGAGGATTTCAATCTTAAGTTTTGTGGTTCAAATCTTGAATTAACCACATCAGGGCTTGTTATGCACATATACACCAAGGAGAGTTTATTTTTATTTATTTTATTTTATTTATTAATATTACTTTTTTTACACCAAGGAAATTTTAATGCTGTCAAATTCTGCTATCAGTAATGCTTGAATGAGCTTACCTGTATGATGGGAAATTGAAGGTAGTTCATGTTGTTAATAAAATACAGAAGACTATAGCTATATCCCATGAATGCTCCAGCCAGTAGGAAAAAAAGATGATATTCATTTAAGCAGGTTTGTGCAGCAGGCCTATCTAAGCTGAAGGGAAAAAGTTAAGTTATTAATTCAACTGTAAGGGAAACAGATCACTGTCTTGGGTTTAATATTTACTGAAAACAAACAAACAAAAAAAAAGTATACTGAAGGCAAAGTTCTGAGTTCATCAATTAATGTTCAAATTCTAACAAAATGGTTCATTTTAGGTTAAGTGCGAGCAGAACTTTATTAAGCCTCTTTTTCCTGAAGCATGAGAATCTGACTCTAGCTCTGCTGCCCGAGAAACCTTATGTGTGTACAATGGAAGTAAATGACATCACTTACAATTTGGTAAACCACATCTGGAACAAGAGAACTATAAACAAGCTATATACCAAAGATATGCCATGACAGGCCAGCGAGATAGCTCAATGGACTAAGTACCTGCTTAGGCAAACACAGGGACCAGGGTGCTATCCCCAGCACCACATGCCACTCCAGTCCCAGCCCCAGCCCCAGGTGTGCTGAGCCCATCACAGAGACCAGGCGTGGTGGCAATTGCCAGTAATCCCAGTGCTCCGGACACTAAAAACACAAGGATCACTACAAGTCTAAGCTGCATAGTGAGACCCTTTGCCAAGTACGTTAAAAAAAAAAAAAAAGGTATGTCATGACTTCTCTCCATGTTGTCGCTTACAACCTGACATTACACTCAGGGCCTCTGGATGCTGTGCCTATAAAGTTGCTACAAGAGACATCAGATCCCTTGAAGTATAAAGCCCAAAGCAGGAAGCCCATACCTGTGTGATGTGGATTCACCACTCTTGTACCTGAACTGTCTCAAAGTCAAGGAAAAAGTACCCAAATGGTGTGGGGCCTGCTGTCTGTATGAAATAAGTCTAAAACTCCTGCTGAAGAGGAAGTCCTGGTATTTCCCACCTCACAATCTAGAACTGCTAGGTTCTGAAATTTAATTAAATCTCTGGGATTCCCTGGTGGGCATGCCATCATCCAGTACCCTATCACCTTCCTCTTACATCCTTTAATTTAGAGGGTAGGATTTTATCTACCTGGTGAACATCAAGCTCTTAAACTCCTAGGTATCTCTATAACCCAGCAAACATGATTCAGTAGGCACCAGCTTTCCATGAAGGAGTACCCAGTTGACATCCTGACACCTATCTCCATGAGATAAGATTCCAGGCTGATGATTTTCTGGACTGTGAGCTACGGGATGATGAGAAGAGATTAGTCTTGCTAAGGACTCTGACAATGAAATCACTGGTAAACCTACTTATAACAAGCGTTACTCTTCTCAACAACTTGTAGCTTTTGCTGTCATCCACTATCTGGTACTTCACTTCCATCTCGGTTGAAGAGATCTGCAAAAGGAACTTAAGACTCATCCAGGGTGCAGCTGGCATTCCCTTATTCACAACCGTCCTGTATTCCCAGATGTCCCTCACCATTTCATGTTTGTAAAGGGACACTCTGCATTAGAGCAAACTTATTCTGGGGGGGGGGGGCTGCCTCTTAAAATAGCCAAGGACGAAAAAGAAATCAAGTATTCAATAGAGCCAGGTATGATGCACATGCATGTAATCTCAGAGCTGGGGAGGCTGAGCCAGGATGATCATACTAAGTTTGGGGCCAAGATGGGCTACATGTGAGTTCAAGGCCAGCCTGATCTTCACAGGGAGACCCTGTCTCAAAAAACAACAAAAATAAATCTCAGGGAAAAAAATAAAATAAAATAAACACATCTGGGGCCAGGGAGATAGCTCAGTGGCATAAGCACCTGCCTGGCAAGCCCAAGCTCCTGACTTCAACCCCCAGTACCAATCAACCAATCAATCTGACATATACAAATAAGCACTTGTGATTAAAGTCTGGAAAGCAAAGAACATTCACAAATTACTGGCCTATCTAGGTCACCTTTGGCTCAGTAACTGAATCAAGCTATTTACAAAGAGCGAGCGCATTTATGATACCTCTCAGAACTGGAGCAGGGCACCACCAGGAAACTGTACTGGCCCTTGGTCATCACCGCTGCACACCAGGCCATCACCATCCCCATAGTGGCATGAACTAATGAGTGCATGAGTTGCTGAGGGTGCAAGATCTTCCCTATCAGCGCCAATCTGGAGCAGGGGATGGATGGCACAACTGCAAAGAAAATGTGTTATCGCAGCATATGAAGCCAGAGGATCTCAATTATTCCCTCTTATCCCTTGACAAATATTCTAGGGGCAGAAAGTAACCCACAATCAACACAAAACACAGCATAGAAAAACTCTAAACTAAAAACACCCTAGCACTGGGCATGGTGTCACATGTCTGTATTCCTAGCACTTTGAGGCTGAGACAGGAAGATCGCTGTGTGAGTTTAAGGCCAGCCTCGGCTACACAAGCAAGTTCAAGGCCAGCCTGCATTAAATAGCAAGATCCCACTTCACAAAAATTTATTAGTTAGGCCAGGGAGATGGCTCAGTAGAATAAGCACTTGCCTGGCAAGCGCAAGGGCCTGAGCTCAATCCCCAGTTCCACCAAAAAAAAAAAATTAAAAAAAAAAAATCATTAGTTAATTTAATTAAATCCTGACACAAGGGCCAGCCAAATAGCTCAGTGGATTAAAGTGCCTGCAAGCAGACACAGGGAACAGGGGTTTGGGGCTTCGATTCCTAGGCCTGCAGTGCTAGCACCACCCGTGGGGCATGCTGAGATGACCACTGAGACTGGCTGTGGTGGCGCGCACCTGTAATCCCAGCACTTGGTAAAGAGGAGAACCACTGAGTCTGATCTAGTAGTGAATACCCTGTAAAACCTTCCCTAAAATATCAAAAAAAAAAAAAAAGAAAAGAAAAAGAAAATCCTGACACAGACCTCAATCTATTACACAGATCAATATGTAAAATGCACTGTCTACCTTCAATAAAATAAATTTAAAAAAATTTTTTTTAAATTCCCATTTGAAACTCACCTGCATAGAACTCGACATTGAAAACACTTATAATTATTACTACCACTGACAGCAGTAAGAGGTAAAAGATGACATAGGAACTGTACAAGTCATTGACAGAATCTAAAACACAAAAAAAATGAATTAGTAAGGTTTATGCAGATTTGTGGTCATGTTGAAGACACTGCAATATAAAAACTGTGTACCATAACTTTCACAATAATCTTTTTCACAATAATGCTAACTTCAAATCTTATCTTTTCTGTAAGAATTACACACTGCTTACAGATCTAAATGGACATCAACTCGAGTATACCAGTGTAGTATTTGGAGCATATGGAGTATTTGGAATTGGGTCTGGATACTTTAAAAGTACAGTAGAATTTATTTTAAATGACCCAGATGTTAATATCAGACAAAATACTACCCTATATGAACATTTCTTTTCTTTTTTTTTTGTGGAACTGGGGATTGAACTCAGACCCCTGCACTTGCCCAGGAAGCACTTATTCTACTGAGCCATCTCCCCAGCCCTGAAAATTTCAAAGATTCCTTTTTAAATGTGATGTTTTTCAGATTTCCTCTTTAAAAATGTACTTTGCTCCTATCGCTGAAGTTAAAGTAACATCTTTGTAAATAGTGTAACTCATCAATCATCTAAAGGAGCCAAAGTACAAAACAAAAAATTGTGATGTCCCTGTGAAATCCTAGTATGCTTACATGACTGAGTAGTAAACAATGTTCCCATTCAAAGTGTAAAATATGAATATATTATGCCTAAGCTATGAATAAATGAAAAAAATACATGCTATTAAGCAGACTAAGACAATGAAACCTTGAGACAGAATCTCACTCTGTGGTCCAGAATGGCCTTGAACTCACTGTGTAATGCAGGCTGACCTTGAACGCTCATTGATTCCCCTAAATACTGAGATTATAAGCATGCACCACCTCGCCTGGTTTAAACCAATTATTTTTAAAAGTACAATTCTTTTTTTTTTTTTTAATTTATGTTTCTGGTACAGTGTCTCACTACACAGCTTGGACTCGCAGTGATCTTCCTGTTTTTAGCCTCTCAAGTGCTGCAATTACAGAAGTGGGCCACCATACCTGGTCTTAGTGGCTCAGCAACCTCACAGGTAGGGCCAGCCTGGTACCTGGGATCAACCCTGGTCCCTGTGTTTGCCTAAGCTTTAGGCCGCTGAACTATCTCACCGACCCTAAAAATACAATTCAATGAGCTAAAGTAATAAAAAAGACTTCCTGGCCTCCACAACTGAATACCTATGATCTCTACACTAACTTATGGCTTAATTTTGTCTGATCTGTATGACCTAGCCAAACACTGACTGACATAAATAAAACACTTCCTATAATTT